ATTGTGATGTGTGCCTCATTCATATCTTTTACTTTTTTGTCAAGATGAGGAAATATAATCGAGAAAGTAAAACGAACACTCGTCAGAAGACAAATATGCATTTGCCAGAAACCTGAAAATCGATTTAATGAACAAGTTACATGCGATTTAGTTATCAGTTATATGCTTGACAAATATCGCTAATATTGAAGTTAGAACATTTTAACGGCAGCTGTCACTCTGTGCATGATAAATGAATAACAATCGCTTTCATCTCAGTAAAACATGTATCTATTCACTCGCCATTACCCATTGTGTCATATGATCATTCTAATATTATAAAATGTGAAATGCATTAGAGAAAGGAAGATAGCAGGAAGTGTGTCATAAAATACAGAGGACTGCTAAAGTATGATATTTCATATGAGGGCGATGGGGTAGCCTAGTGGTTAAAGCGTTCGCCCGTCACGCCGAAAGTCCGGGTTCGATTTCCAACATAAATTAGTTACATCAGCAATTGGTCATCAGCATCCCATGCTGGTTGTAGGATGCGACTAACAGGATCGGGTGGTCTGGTTCGCTAACATGGTTGTTGATAGTAATCGTGTGCCAATTGATGAGATAGATGCTCATGATGTTGATCACTGGATGGTCAGTAATGAGCTTCTGAAACTTGCACAGTGATAAGTTCACATTCAAATAAATAAATAAATACAATGTAAATAAATAAATTTATATATGAAGTACACCGTTCAAGTGACAAAGGCAGGAAACCTGAGAAAACATTTTCTTAACTTTTGCTTTTATTTTTTTCAAAATTCCCCAGACGATTAGCTTCTATTTTGTAGACAATACAATTTTGTTTCTAAAGTTTAAAAATGTGAGACTTTAAATCTGAATATTCTTGTTAAAGTACAGGCTTCTCCGAATCGGATATTCCCCGCACTCCAGGTCCAGACTTGTCACCCCAGCTTCACCGACGTAGTACATTGTTCCTAAAGACTCACGACAGCTGCGGTGTCTTTGTTCCTTACTGGGGCGGTGGGGTAGACTAATGGTTAAAGCATCCGCTCGTCACGCCGAAGACCCGGGTTCGATTCCCCATATTGGTACAATGTGTGCAGCCCATTTCTGGTGTCCTAGGCCGTGATATTGCTGGAATATTGCTAAAGCGGCGTAAAACCATACTCACTCTCTCGTTGTTCCTTACTTTTGTGTAATCTTTTAGATAATTTTTAGATATTGTCATAAGGAAGAAATGCATCCCATACTACATCAGGAAAATTACCAAAAAATCACAGTTTAGATTTGCGATTATCCTCAGGATTGCTTCAAAGTCGCGGAAATATGTGGAACGTTGAATGTAGCAAGAAATCGATAGAAATATGTGCGTTTGCTAATTGTTTTGCGTGCTCGGTGCCATTTATTTAGATGGTAAAAGCAGAACACATTAGTCATGAGAGACAGAACAAATTAGGCTAACGTTAAAACTATCAAGAGCAGTAGCAAAATGATGATTAACCGATCTGTGATGTCCGGTAGTTTTCCGATTAGAACAAACATGAGTTCATGGTCAGATAAACTTTTAACGAATCAAAACAATGTATTGGGATATATGATCAGGATCATGTCAGACTAGAACCGTATAAAAATACACCTTTAACACGAGTGGAGATGGTGCGGGCTTTCCAATCAACCGGGGACGGTGGGGTAGCCTAGTGGGTAAAGCGTTCGCTTGTCACGCCGAAGACCCGAGTTTGATTCCCCACATGGGTACAATGTGTGAAGCTCATTTCTGGTGATCCCCGCCGTGATGTTGCTGGAATATTGCTAAAAGCGGCGTGAAACCATACTCACTCACCCCAATCAACCGAAGCGAATCGTCGTCACTCAGTTTCCCAGTATGGGACGAGCCCATCCTGCCTAGTGTTGAAGTTGTAGTAAGAGAGACGGACTGAGACAAAGTAAACCTATGTGAGTATAGATCCTGGTGTTGTGTAAATCAATGTAAGTATAAATGTTCGCCAGTGCATGAATGTGATGTGGAAAGTTGAGAGTCACGGTCGTCAGACCCCTCACTCCTTGACTTCACGACCCTCGACGGACCAGGCTTACATTCCCAGGACAACCTGGAACGGCAATACGGGTAGGTAACTGTTGTAGGGTCCACTGATGCATGAACGTAGTTAGGACAATATATATTTTCAAAATAGACAACTATATTTGTGGGACTAAGTGTCAGTCTAGTCGTGGTGTGTCAGTCTGTCTTCTTGTCTCACCCCCTTACTGTTTGATAATCTGCGGAATTCTATCAAATCTTTAAATCTTTTGTAGTCCCCAAACACTCGGCCGTAATAACTGACAACTAACGCTTAGCCTCTCAATATGTATGTAGGAAAGATTTCGTTTGATCAATATATACTTGTCCTAGAGCGTTCGTTGGGGTTACTCTCGGATGGTAGTTCAGGATGGTGGATAATAGACGGAAGACAAAAGTCATCGGTAGAGTTGAAGACAGCAGCAGCCATGTTTATTACGGTTGGGGAATAATGGTAGAAATGGTACATAAGATGGAAATCACGTGACAGAACGCACATCGGGACCGAGTGGCCAGTGTTCCCGATGTGGAGACCCGCTCTGTCACTTACACGCATTCAGAAGTCGGACGGCGATTCTTCATCGTCGACGTAGTCGTTGGTGAGGCGACGGCCTTGGCCGACGCCCCGACTAGCCGCAGAATCCGTCCGCTTCTGTCGATGATCTGGGCCCGTCTCTTCCCCTGACTGGTCTCCCTGAGTGACCATGTCAGTCAGGTTTTATAGATAGGGACATTACGCCACGTTATGATGTAGGGCGGTGTTAATTGGCATTTACTGATAACATTAAGAATTAAGGGCTGATAAGAGGGCTACACCGAAGGATTGCTGAATACATTAAACAGACAAAGGGGATAGAATTTCCGTGTACTTTGGATATATATTGAAACAATTATGTTGTTTGAATGGATGAAGTTTTACAGAAACTTATTGAAATGGTTTACTCTATGACATACTCATAGAAACGACTAAGAAAACATATGAAAGTACAAGTGTTCCTTTATTTATTTCCAGAATTTCACCCACAGTTCAATACATACCTTGTGAAGATACCTGGACAAGCATATAGGAACACTTGTCAGGGGCGTAGCTACTATTATATAAAAATAGCCCGAGCTTACACATGATTGTTGCTAAATAGGTTGAGAAAGCCCTCAATACTATCTAAATATAAAGCTTTCCAACCTATCGGGCTTACACGGAAATAATTGGCTGGCTGCGCTCCTGCTTGTACTTTCATATGTTCCTTTATTCGTTTTCATGAGTATATATAATTTTCATAGCAACAAATAATCCAAATTTAAATTGAAAAGGATCCCCGGTGAGATGGGAGAAGCTGAGGAAATGCTTTATTTAGGGCTTTAACACTGCAGAAAAGGCTGGGTGGAAGGAGATAATGTGCTTCATGGACCGTGAAACTGTCGACATCGTCTCCTTGTTGACGACAGATTGTCAACAGTACATAAGAGAAAGTCTGCGGTCCCAGACTACCAAGATGGCCGCCGGGATTGGATTGTGGGTAATCTATAAGTTGAGTTGAGTTGAGTTTTACGTCACATCGGCATTATTCCAGCCATATAGTGACGAGATCAAGTCTGAATTCATACACATTTTAACTGCAAAGTATAAATGAGTTCCACTTTGAAAACATATACAGTAGAACATGGATATAGCGAACACGGATATAGCGTACAAACGGATATAGCGAACAAATTTAAAAGTCCCGTCAGTAGTCCTTTATAATATCATTAAAATTATACGCGAATAACGAACTCGTGAGTAGCGAATTAACGGCTATAGCGAACTGATTTACTACCCCCAAGACCCAATTAACGACGTGATTAGCGAACTCACTCAGTGTCAGCTCAGTGTCAGCTCAGCCACCTAGCGGTATACATCAACCTTGTTGGCGGCGAATCAACATTGTTTGATGGTCATTAATTAATTAACAAAACAAACATGTCGTGTTTAAAAGCTTGACTGGTATACTGGTGGACTTTGTTAAACGTAATTAAGTTATATACATTTCATTATTATTTAAAAACAGAAAATGTGGTAGCACCAAATTCAAAAGCAGGAAATTTGTTATTCACATTACAGAGCTACAATTTATGGTACAGGTCAGGTAGCTAACAATGAGATACCCGCTGACGCAGGAAAACGGGGCTTTCAGATTTACCGCTTCACAATGCGCATCCCTTGCAGTCGAAAAGTCCACGCAGTCAAGCAGTATATGCTTGATGCTTGGTAATGGGAAGCCGAACCCACTCTAGTATATTTACAGACTGAATTCATATAACATGCGGGCGAATATTAAAAATTTCGTCATAATACAAGCGAGAAAAGACTAGATCTTTGACCTGACAGATCTAAAATACATGGACATTTTTATACTGGCATTTTGTCCTAGAAAAAAATATGTCTTATTCAAAGGAGCATCTTGCCAAATCAGTCTACACTTGAGTGGAACTCATATTTAATTTATTCACCAGGAGCCGATTAGGTTTTCAGTATTAGCCCGGCATAAAGAAATAACAGATGATTATACGGTCCCCGCGCGGAAGCGAGCGGAGTGTGGCTATTTTTAGCACTGCTAGTCGGCCATGACTGAAGCGAGTGGGTAAGGAAGTACAACACTCAGTCCAGTAAAAGACGTAAATATGGTCGAGTGAATCAGTGAAATCAGTGAGTATTCGGCGATAACTCTTCTCACAGCAACCTGGTGTGTGAATCGTCTATCTTCAGGAACATACATATACTAACTCGAGTCTCGCCATGTTTAACGTAATCTTCGCAGCAGTTTTGTTTACTCTGTGTGGGGCCCAGTTAAGGAGGAAAAATGTCTTATTTTTCGTAGCGGACGATCTGCGACCTAATTTAGGAGCCTATTCAGGAAACAATGCCCCTTCTCCGAGCGATCCTGTTATGTATACACCGAATCTCAACCGCCTGGCTCGGAGTAGTCTGGTTCTACAGAGAAGTTACGTATCGCAAGCTATATGCAGCCCAAGTCGTACCTCCGTTCTGACCGGCAGGCGACCTGACACGACCCGCGTGTGGGACCTCAAACACTACTGGCGCATAGTGGGCGGTAATTTCACAACAATACCACAATACTTCAAGGAAAATGGTTATCGGACAGTCGGAATGGGTAAAATATTTCATCCTGGAAAACGTGCCTCGGGGAATAATGATCCTATTTCATGGACCGATCCGTATTTTCTAGGAAAGGACGATTACCCCTCGAACCGCCTGTTATGGCAAGCTGTTACGGAAGCGGAAGAACGTCGGACGCCATTAATCGACACTCAAATTGCTGACTTTGCAGTTAAGACGTTGAACGACGTTGCCCCTAAAGCTAAGAGCGGTGAGCAGCCTTTTTTCGTCGCTGTCGGCTTCCATAAGCCCCATACACCATGGAACTATCCAGAAAGGTTTGAGAAATATTATCCCTTGGATTCATTACAACTGCCAGATAATTACTTTGCACCCGTAGGCATGCCGGCGTTTGCCTGGCATAACTTCTCCAGACTGGGTACCTACAAGAACGTGAGACCGTACAATCTCCACGACGTTGGATCTATTAATTACACCTTCCCTAAGAACTTAACTCTGATCATGCGAAGGGCGTATTACAGTTCTATTAGCTTCACAGACTATAATGTAGGGCGTGTGGTGCAGGAACTTGAGAACCTTGGACTCGCCAATGACACAATCGTATCGTTCTGGGGCGACCACGGTTGGCAGCTGGGCGAACACTGTGAATGGCAGAAGGAGACAGTTTTCGAACTCGCAGCACGTGCACCTATGATGGTCAAAGTTCCCGGCCTGACGGATAACGGTATTGTGACGTCACAGCTTGTAGAGTTCGTTGACCTCTTCCCAACACTCGTCGACTTGGCGGGACTGCCGAAGATGAAATTGTGTCCTGAGAATTCCAGTCAGATTTTGTTGTGCACGGAAGGGAAAAGTTTTGTTCCTTTATTCAAGAATCCGAATATAACTGGGTGGAAGAAGGCCGCGTTTTCGCAGTTTCCCCACGACAAAAACGGCAGGAACGGGCTCGACGTGATGGGCTACAGCATCAGAACCGACAGATACCGTTACACCGAGTGGGCAACGTTCAAGCCTCATCTGAGACCCGAGTGGGACAAACTACGCGGCGTCGAGCTGTACGACCACGGAATAGATCCGGAAGAGAACCGAAACAGGGCCCAGGAACCGAGTTATACAAATCTGAGGTCACAGCTTAGTAAACAGCTCCGAGCAGGATGGAGATATGTTAATATTTAACGTCTGCTGAGACTACTGAGGATTGGATGTCCACAATGACTTGTGAAGAGATATGACTATCTGCGAACTCTAACTTGTCTGTTAGGGTATCTGTTGGCATCTTCTTCTGACGTATCAAACCGCGTCATACGCTTACCTCAGCAGCCGTTATTCAGTGGATGTCTGTAATCAAAGGATGTATGACTCAACAAGGATCTTGTCTAAGGTTAGAGTAATGGGAATCGGATGTTCACAATGGGTGATCAGACTGTACGTGTGTCCTGGTATCCAGACCGTCTGGATCCCTACATGTTAATGAATTCAACCTGCCTGTTTTGGCCTAGAATCCATGATTTACATTCCCCAAATAAGTGTTGAAGTCGCTCACGTACTCGTATCAATCCACCCGTGAAGATCCGGGTTAGAATTGGTCTTCAGTAACCCGTGTTTGTCATAAAAGACGACTAACGGGATCGGCTGATTAGGCTCGCTAACTTGGTTGACGCTTGTCATCGTATCCCAGGTGCGTAAATCGATGGCCATGCTGTTGATCACTTGATTGTCTGGTCCAGACTCGATTATTTACAAACCGCCGCCATATAGCTGTATGCTAAATGTGCGGCGTAAGACTAAACTCACTCACTTATCAATCGCTGCCTTGATGGCATAAGATTTAGTTACTTCAGGCCTTTTACTGCGCGGAAAAACGTCTTTCACCAAGGGGGCGGTGGTGTAGCCTAGTGGTTGAGGCGTTGGTTAGTCACGTCGAAGACCCGGGTTCGATTCCCCACATGGGTACAATGTGTGAAGCCCATTTCTGGTGTCCTCCGCCGTGATATTGCTGAAATATTGCTAATAGCGGCGTAAAACCATACTAACTCACTCACTCTTTCGCTGACGTTGTCTTACTTCGAGATTGTCTTGCATACAACCCCGTAAAACAACCATGACTCATGCATCTATGAAGCTGCTTGTAAAGGATAGACAATATGTGCAGTATGAATACATGATATACATATCTTGTACCAGCATATCTTTGAAGCCTGAAACGGTGATTGTCCAGAGAGCCGCCGTTTCAATCTTTTATGATCGAGTGTGATATGAACATATTCCTTGACATTTGTCACCTCTCCTTCGGTCAAATATAGTGGCCTCACTTTAGTTGCTTGCGATCTCTAGCCCACTTTTATATTGTTTGTCAATGAAAAGCTTAATATTTAATTTTCTCAATTTAGTTTTGATAATATATGTGATATTCTAGTAGTTATACTGTCCTCGATGACAGCTTTTTTTATAAAGTATTCTAAGATGTATTCTTAATTTATGAATTTCTGTCGTCACGATATGGCTGAAATATTGCCAATGTGCCGTAAAATATTGACTCACTCACTCACTCGTGTTCAGAAGTGCCATCATTGTCCTCCATCCTAGCACCAAATTAACATAGGAATTCATTCGCTCACGAGCTTGAAATCAACACCCAATCAAAATGCCTCATATGGAAAGGATTTCCGCAAGAATTCCTGTATACAATACCTCGATGTGTGTAACTGAGAGATGTTTCATGAGTGGTGAGATTAACATGCAAGGAGGCGTTCTGAGTTCTGTTTGAGACGTCAGACGTAACGTTGATGTCGATGCTTGTTCCAATTATGAATGAAAGAGTTGAAGTACCCGTGAAGATCCGGGTTAGAATTGGCGTTCAGTAACCAATGCTTGTCGTAAGAGACTATCGGGATCGGGTGGTCAGGCTCGCTGAATTGGTCGACACGTCATATGTTCCCAATTGCGTAGATCGATGCTCATGCTGTTGATTATTGGATTGTCTGGTCCAGACTCAATTATTTACAGACATATAGCTGGAATACTGCTGAGTGCGGCGTAAAACTAAACTCACTCACTCACTCACTCTTTCAAAGTCTTGCTTTACGAACCGGGTTCAGAATCGAAGCGGCGGTCGGGAATGGGTCCATGACATTTACCATGTTAAATAATACACATGATGCCCGAGGATGGGTGTATATATTGTTTGGTGGCCTTTTTTTTGTCATTTATATGTATATTATGCAAGGCATCGTTTGCTGACATTCCATGTTTTGTGTTCCAGGTTTTTAGAATCAAACGGGTTTATATTCTATCCATTATTGTACATCCTGTAAACTTTATGGAGAAGCATGAAATAAATAATTTAGTAGTTTTCACTCTTTTTTCTTTCCCGGATTCAGTTTGAAGGCGCAGTAGAAATTGGACGTCGCCGTCATCGTCGCCATCATCGTCATCATAATTTCTTAGAGATGAATCATTTCTTATAGTTAAGTTTTCTAGTCACCATATGGCTGAAATATCGCCGATGTGACGTTAAATATGAACTTACTCATCATCATCATCATCATCATAATCGAACGCTACCTCGTCTTCCGCCTGATGCAGTGACATGATATGATATTTGTCACATATTATATATTAACTTTTCATATGATTAACCACGTGGTGTTTAATATTAAAAATAGGTTCCCTGCAACCTTGTCTTGGGAGGCAACTATGTGGATTGGTTGGTCAGCTACATGTCATTACAGGAGGCACATGTTTATCTGGAACAAACTATTATTTGAAGAGTGTCCTATCAGGATACTGCTATACGGTGTTACACAACAAACAAGACCACAGGGTTCTTTGTTGAAATTGTACAGTCTTTTTATTTTGACTTTGTTGTTTACCTACACAGTTCATGAATGTCCATTGAAGGGATGACAATTTCAAGCCTGACCACCCGGTCCCGTTAGTCGCCTCTTACGACAAGCGTGGGGTGCTGAAGATCAGTTCTAACCCGGACCTTCAAGGGTTCACAAGGAAATAGTCAGTTTAATTGCATACCTGTATACATTAGCACCTAACAGGATAAAACGCTCACTGAATATAAACAGGCCAATACGACATTGTTCTAGGAAGTTGTTTACCTGAATTGCACTGACACAGATCTTGGTAATACATTTGATCTTCAGGCATGTGTGACCGCCTCCGTGGTGTAGTGGTTAGAGCGTCCGCCCGGAGAGCGGGTTCGATCCCCGACCACGTCATACCAAAAGACGTTAAAATATGGTACTTGTTGGTCCCTGCCAGGCGTTCGGCATTCATGGGTACAACAAGGACTGGTCGGCTCGGGGTCAGTATAATGTGTCTGAGTGGGGTATTCATGCTTCACTGCGGCATGGTATCTCAGTGGGCTAGCACTATAAAACCAGCTTCAATCTGGGCTAGTACAAGCAGCTGCACATACACATACACACGCATGCACGTCGTCATATGAGCGAAATATTCTCCAGCGCGACGTTAAACCCAATTTCACCTCACCTCACCTCAGGCATGTGTAACGGCATCATCGTTAAATATCAGCATTCCCTTTCCCACTGAAAACAACATGCATACAAGATTACTTCTTATGACACAGAAATAGTTACTATTGCCTCACATTTATTCGCAAACGGTATAGCAAGCTGAAGCCTACTGGATTGACCCAATGCTATAATAGTATTGTAAAATGCAGGTTTATTTCACAAAGCGATCATAGTTCTAGGACAGTATGAAGTATACGTTAAAATATGCGCTACGGTAGCTTTGTGAAACAGTGTCCAGTTCTTTTCACTGGGGTATTATACTGGATATTCACCGGGTAGACAAATATTACGTGAAAATAGTTACAGTATTTAAGGTCGTCATCGAACGCTCGTCCCAAGCGCTGCTTAATATCGAAACGAGATTTATTTCATTCTACTACTAGCATGATATTTCTTTTCCCATGTTCTTGTTTTGCAAGGTCTGTTCAACCAAACGTTGCAGCAGTGAAATGAAATATTTAAATATGGAATAAATTATTCAATTGTTACACAATTGGGCCACCTGTTGCTTTAGATCTTCAAGCCCTTGACTATCTCTCAATGACTTCCTTGAAAATAGTAAACAGTATTATTCAACGTGTAACATCGTTTCCATTTCCTGTGTTATGGCTTCGTTGTCACGTTGTCAGTGCTGGTTTCTTCATCATGTGGGTCAGTAAATATCTTAGTTAGTTCTTTTTTAACAAACCTTGACCTCCTCTCGTGCTGCTTCTGCGCTTCTCTGTTCTTCAAAACATCCATCAAATACAACCAATCACATTCACGCACTACGTCGACCTTCACCTTGCTGTTATGTAAAAGTCGGAGGCCATCTTTGTTTTCTATCGCTTCGTCTTCAGTACCTACTCTAAACAGTCGAGCAAATCGTAGAGTCATGCCGACTTCAATGCCCTGAGCTTCTAAGTCATGGAGAAAGTTAACGAGGCCCTCCGAGGTCGCTCCTTGGGGAGAATAACTTAGAAAGATCTTAATGTTGATCTCATCTGCGTCTTGCCAGAATGGTTCATCGGGAAGCCATTCAACTAACCTGTCTTCAGCTCGCGGACCGTCAGCCGCAGTTTCGTAGAAAATACGCGTGAGAGTTGTCTCCCCTTTGTCGCGGGTAATTTTGCAGACCGCGGCAGTGTCACTGACCTCCTCCTCAGCGAGACTCGTTTTCCAGAAGACGTCAAACTCCCTCCTTAGGGGTGAGTCACATGGTGTGTCCTTAGAGACGAAGCCTACAGATAACAGAAAAAAAACATAAATTATTTATTATTGAAGCATCTGTCATTTAATATTTTTAATATTTAATATTCAAATTTGTTTGCGTTTATGCTTGGATGCGTGAATCTGTGTAAGTGTTGACAAAATAAAATCACTTACAACAAATTTTCCTAACCTGTCCAGTGAAGCCCAAGGACAAAACATTATCATCCCCGTAATTTCTAAGAAACTAATAATTTACCAGCATCTCACTCATCTCATCGGTTTGTGGGGGCGGTGGGGTAGCCTAGTGGTTAAAACGATCGCTCGTCACGCCAAAGATCAGGGTTCGATTCCCCACATGGGTAGAATATATGAAGCCCATTCTGGTGTCCCCCGCCGTGATATTGCTGGAATGTTGCTAAAGGCGGCGTAAAACTAAATTCACTCACTCATCGGTTTATGTTGATCTTCAGCAGCGATTGGGTTACCTAGCGGTTAAAGTGTTCGCTCGGCACGCTGACGAACCGGCCTTTATGGGTACAACATGTGAAACCCATTTCTGGTAAATAATCAGTCTGGACCAAACAATCCAATGATCAATAGCACGAGCATCATACGATGATGTGTGTCAACCACGTCAACGAGCATAACCATCCGATCCCGTTAGTCGCCTCTTACGACAAGCGTGGGTTACTGAAGATCAATTCTACCCCGGGTCGTTATAGGTGGACAATTCATATAGTAGGTCTCTCCATAATAGTAACACATTTTACATTACAGTGCTGCAACCAGCATTTCCTTGGAAGGGGAAAGTTGGCCCCTACCCTTAGAAAATATGGCTGAAATATTGCCGATGTGGCTATATATTTTAACTCACTCACTCACTCACTCTAACCCTATCTTCACAGGTATTGTCACTGCATGGAATAAAAGATGTAGATGATGACATGTGTCAAACAATATGTAGTAAATATATGTCCCACATGACATGTAGGTTGCCAAATACGTTTTGTCATATCCAATGAACGAAACAGCCTCCACACCTTATACACATCTTAAATATATGGTGAAATAATCACATTACAGATCTTTGCACAAATAACTTAAATTAATGCACAAACATCTTCATTGTTGCAATGAATATTGAACGCAGCAGCGAAGGGTATTGACCCCGTTTCTATAACATGACGTAGCACCTGGTAAATGTAACCTTTACAATAGGCCAGGAATATATGCATCATAGTATAGGATATATGCAGCCCCTATGTTAAACTTGTAAAACACCTACCTGGAGAATAGCTGTTGAACATTCTTGAATATTCTTTGGAAACACAAATATCCACAGTTTATGTGTAATGTTGAATCTCAATCTGAGAAACGACATAGAGTAAGTCGGTGAGTCGAAGTGTAAACACGTGTCGAGTTGGAACGCCTCCCGCAACAGCGGGATTGCACAGAATTAGGTCAACATTTGATGAAAGGCTTGCGTTACCCACTGGCAGAAATGACGTGGGTTACATCTGGAATAACACCACAGGATGGTTTCCTGGTGTGCCATCAATGTTAGACGAAATACCGTTACGTGTAGCCGGAGACTAACAAACTTCAACACACTGGCTTCAACTTGCACAGGAGGAGTAACGCTATGTACTTTTGTCTAGCGAGAATAACATAGCAACTATTCAGTCTTTGGGTTACGTTAATAGTGAGTTAGTGCAGGACGCCTCACTTAGCGCAGTTTCAGTTACATCTGACATATTGGAGGAAAGCTCCATCAGATGTAGTTTTATCAGTTGCTTGCAACGGTGAGTGAGTGAGTATGGTTTTACGCCGCCTTTAACAATATTCCAACAATATCACGGCGGGGACACCAGAAATTGGCTTCACACATTGTACCCATATGGGAAATCGAACCCGGGTCTTCAGCGTGACGAGTGAACGCTTCAACCGCTTGCCTACCCCACCGCCCTGCGTATCACGGACAAACTAGACACGCAGTATACGGCCAAAAGTGGGCCTTAGATAGATATGACTTGGACATTTAAATATTTCTCAATATAACTATAAGGCTGTAGCAATTGAATGATGTAGGTAGAGGGCTTCAGTACAGCATCACGAGACACCAGTACCAATACATCACGTGACACCAGAACCAATACATCACGTGACACCAGTACCAATACATCACGTGACACCAGAACCAATACATCACGTGACTCCAATACCTATTCATCACGGGACACAGTCCCAATGCATCACGAGACACCAGTACCAATACATCACGTGACACCAGAACCAATACATCACGAGACACCAGAACCAATACATCACGGGACACCAGTACCAATACATCACGGGATACCAGTACCAATACATCACGGGACACCAGTACCAATACATCACGTGACACTAGTACCAATACATCACGAGACACCAGAACCAATACATCACGAGACACCAGAACCAATACATCACGGGACACCAGTATCAATACATCACGAGACACCAGAACCAATACATCACGAGACACCAGAACCAATACATCACGGGACTCCAGTACCAATACATCACGAGACACCAGCACCAATACATCACTAGACACCAGTACCAATACATCACGAGATACCAGAACCAATACATCACGAGACACCAGCACCAATACATCACGGGACACTAGTACCAATACATCACGAGACACCAGAACCAATACATCATGAGACACCAGAACCAATACATCACTAGACACCAGTACCAATACATCACTTGATACCAGTACCAATACCTGTCACCAGACACCAGTCGCAATAGAACACGACACACCAGAACCAATACATCACGGGACACCAGTACCAATACATCACGAGACACCAGTACCAATACATCACTTGACACCAGTACCAATACATCACGACACACCAGAACCAATACATCACGAGACACCAGTACCAATACATCACGGGGCACTAGTACCAATACATCACGAGACACCAGAACCAATACATCACGAGATACCAGCACCAATACATCACTAGACACCAGTACCAATACATCACGAGATACCAGAACCAATACATCACGAGATACCAGAACCAATACATCACGGGGCACTTGTTCCAATACATCACGAGACACCAGAATCAATACATCATGAGACACAAGAACCAATACATCACTAGACACCAGTACCAATACATCACGAGATACCAGAATCAATACATCACGAGACACCAGTGCCAATAAATCACGAGACACCAGAACCAATACATCACGAGACACCAGAACCAATACATCACGTTACACCAGTACCAATACATCACGAGACACCAGAACCAATACATCACGGGAGACCAGTACCAATACATCACGGGATACCAGTACCAATACATCACGAGACACAAGTACCAATACATCACGAGACACCAGAACCAATACATCACGATATACCAGTACCAATACCTGTCACCAGACACCAGTCGCAATAGAACACGACACACCAGAACCAATGCATCACGGGACACTAGTATAAATACATCACGAGACACCAGTACCAATACATCACGTGACACCAGTACCAATACATCACGAGACACGAGAACCAATACATCACGAGACTCTAGTACCAATACCTGTCACCAGACACCAGTCGCAATACAACACGACACATCAGAACCAATACATCACGAGACACCAGTACCAATACATCACGAGACACCAGCACCAATACATCACCAGACAACAGAACCAATACATTAAGTGACACCAGTATCAATACATCACGAGACACCAGAACCAATACATCACGGGAGACCAGTTCCAATACATCACGGGATACCAGTACCAATACATCACGAGACACCAGAACCAATACATCACGAGACACCAGTACATTACATCACGTGACACCAGTACCAATACATCACGAGACACCAGTACCAATACATCACGAGACACCAGTACCAATACATCACGAGACACCAGAATCAATACATCACGAGACACCAGTACCAATACATCACGAGACACCAGAACCAATACATCACGTGACACCAGAACCAATACATCACGTGACACAAGTACCAATACATCACGAGACACCAGAACCAATACATCACGGGAGACCAGAACCAATACATCACGGGATACCAGTACCAATACATCACGAGACACCAGTACCAATACATCACGTGACACCTGAACCAATACATCACGAGACACCAGAACCAATACATCACGGGACACCAGTACCAATACATCACGGATACCAGTACCAATACATCACGTGACACTAGTACCAATACACCACGAGACACTAGTACCAATAAACAACGAGACACCAGAACCAATACATCACGAGACACCTGAACCAATACATCACGGGACACCAGTACCAATACATCACGAGACACCAGTACCAATACATCACGAGACACCACTACAATACATCACGAGACACCAGAACCAATACATCACGAGACACTAGTACCAATACATCACGTGACACCGGTACCAATACATCACGAGACACCAGTACCAATACATCACGAGACACCAGAACCAATACATCACGATACACCAGTACCAATACATCACGGGGCACTAGTACCAATACATCACTAGACACCAGAACCAATACATCACGAGATACCAGCACCAATACATCACTAGACACCAGTACCAATACATCACGAGATACCAGAACCAATACATCACGAGATACCAGCACCAATACATCACGGGACACTAGTACCAATACATCACGAGACACCAGTACCAATACATCATGAGACACCAGAACCAATACATCACTAGACACCAGTACCAATACATCACTTGATACCAGTACCAATACATCACGAGACACCAGTCGCAATACAACACGACACACCAGAACCAATACATCACTTGACACTAGTATAAATACATCACGGGATACCAGTACCAATGCATCACGAGACACCAGTACCAATACAACACGAGACACAAGTACCAATACATCACGAGACACCAGAACCAATACATCACTAGACACCAGTACCAATACATCACGAGATACCAGTACCAATACATCACCAGACACCAGTCGCAATACAACACGACACACCAGAACCAATACATCACGGGACACCAGTACCAATACATCACGAGACACCAGTACCAATACATCACGTGAAACCAGTACCAATACATCACGAGACACCAGAACCAATACATCACGAGACTCCAGTACCAATACCTCACCAGACACCAGTCGCAATACAACACGACACACCACAACCAATACATCACGGGAGACCAGTACCAATACATCACGGGATACCAGTACCAATCCATCACGAGACACAAGTACCAATACATCACGAGACACCAGAACCAATACATCACGAGATACCAGTACCAATACCTGTCACCAGACACCAGTCGCAATAGAACACGACACACCAGAACCAATACATCACGGGACACTAGTATAAATACATCACGAGACACCAGTACCAATACATCACGTGACACCAGAACCAATACATCACGAGACACGAGAACCAATACATCACGAGACTCTAGTACCAATACCTGTCACCAGACACCAGTCGCAATACAACACGACACACCAGAACCAATACATCACGAGACACCAGTACCAATACATCACGAGACACCAGAACCAATACATCACGCGACACCAGAACCAATACATCACGTGACACCAGTACCAATACATCACGAGACACCAGAACCAATACATCACGCGACACCAGAACCAATACATTAAGTGACACCAGTACCAATACATCACGAGACACCAGAACCAATACATCACGGGAGACCAGTTCCAATACATCACGGGATACCAGTACCAATACATCACGAGACACCAGAACCAATACATCACGAGACACCAGTACATTACATCACGTGACACCAGAACCAATACATCACGCGACACCAGTACCAATACATCACGAGACACCAGAGCCAATACATCACGTGACACCAGAACCAATACATCACGTGACACCAGTACCAATACATCACGGGATACCAGTACCAATACATCACGAGACACCAGTACCAATACATCACGGGATACCAGTACGAATACATCACGTGACACTAGTACCAATACACCACGAGACACCAGAACCAATACATCACGAGATACCAGCACCAATACATCACTAGACACCAGTACCAATACATCACGAGATACCAGAACCAATACATCACGAGATACCAGCACCAATACATCAGTGGGCACTAGTACCAATACATCACGAGACACCAGAACCAATACATCATGAGACACCAGTACCAATACATCACGAGACACCAGAATCAATACATCACGAGACACCAGTACCAATACATCACGAGACAACAGAACCAATACATCACGTGACAACAGAACCAATACATCACGTGACACCAGTACCAATACATCACGGGATACCAGTACCAATACATCACGAGACACCAGTACCAATACATCACGTGACACCTGAACGAATACATCACGAGACACCAGAACCAATACATCACGGGACACCAGTACCAATACATCACGGGATACCAGTACGAATACATCACGTGACACAAGTACCAATACACCACGAGACACCAGAACCAATACATCACGAGATACCAGCACCAATACATCACTAGACACCAGTA